TATATAAATAATTCTAGCTGTTTCATTGCTTCATCTCTTAATGGAAGGATTGTATTTCCATTTTGGTCATTTTCAAAGGCAGAGAGTAGATCTGCACATGTAAGCACTATCAATAAGGCCAATTTTTGTGTTATTATGTTACTGTTTTAAAAAACAATCACTACTGATGACTTTGCATTTTAAATTCCCAATAAACATTAAATCTCAGTTCAATGGCGTCAAAATCTACATTTTTTATAGACTTAACCACACAGTGGGTTCCTGGTCATTCCCAATGTGATTAGCACACAATATATAAAGCAGGTTGCCAGCAACAAGCCTGTTTGAAATTACAGAAATCAAACTTAGCCATTCTACTTCCAGCAAGTATGCAAAATAAAAGCCCTGGGCAGTTATATGAATGGGTTAGTGGCCATTCTCTGACATTCTTATCGCTCACAGTTGCTTGAAACAAAAAAACAGCTTTCAGACCTTATCTCAGGCTATACTGACTGACACTGCATATACGACTCACATGTGTGTTGGTCTGGATTCTAAACTCACAGAAGGTAATAAACAGTAAATCAGAAAGGAAACTGCTTAAGGCAGGAAAACTGACAGCAGCAAGAAATGACAGCTGACAAAAGAATAAAAATATAAGAAAACCAGACTGAACCCAGTTTCCAAGTCCAGGCCTCTGGTGAGGAAGTAACACTCGGTTGTTGGTTAGGAAAACATTATTCTAGCACAGTCATTATGAATATATTCAATTATTCAATATTTCATAAGGGCTGCAATATAAAATGGCCAAAATATTTTTAAGTTGAAAAATTTAAAGAAATAATCTTTACTTAGCCAGAAATTCTAAATATTCAGAGTTGTGATTTCATAATAGTTTCTGCTGCTTGGTGATTCCTTGCACCTCATTTTAGCTGTGAGATTGCCTGTTTCAGACAAGTGACCACATAAGATGTACATCGTATCATACCCAGTTTGAAGAGGTCAGAAAATGCAGCCCTGAAGACTTTACCCCTTACAAAACCTTTACAGTGTAAGAATTCTCAGTAAACAAAGACAGAATCCATACAGAATACAGTGGCCAGGCAAGGTTTTATGCAGAGATGACCAATTATAATTTTGTGAATCAAAAATGCCCTGTCTTACATACATACTCTCACATTCCCTTAAATACAGCTGCATTTTAGTAATTTGCTTCTTAAGAGAAGGGTAAAAAGGGAGGAGAGTAACTTTACCTGACACACAGGAGAAACCTGACAAGCACACTTCAGCTAGATGATCATGACTAATGTAATTAACGCTGTCATGTTGATAAACTGTACACTTGACAAGATGTGATGAGAATGACCTTCACAAATTGCCTTTCAATATCCCACAACCCCAGTCTACTGATGAAAAAAGAACAGAGAGACCAAAATTGAAGGTCATTCTACCAAAATATCTGACCAATATTCCTCAAAACTGTCAAGGTCATTAAAAACAATGAAAAGTCAAAGAAAGCATCATAGCATATAGCAGCCAAAGAGAAAAAGAGAACTAAATGTAACTGATATGCTGGACTGGATCCTAAAACAGAAAAAGGCATTGGGGAAAAGCTAGTGAAATCCAAATTAAGAGTAGTGTTTAATGTAGTAATGCACCAATGTTGGTTCCTTGGTTGTGACAAATGTATTACAGCACAGTAAGATGTTAACAATAGAACAATATATGTGTAAGAATACAGAAACTCTGTACCATCATAACTTTAACATCAAACTAGAACTATTCTAAAATAAAAAGGTTACTTAAAATAAAAGTAACAGCCTCCCTATAGCTGTTGGGGAAAAAAATGTTACCATATGAATAATCTCCATAATTTACAAAGCAGAAAGGTTTTCAGGCTACCAAAAACAAACCAAAGAATTCTAACCAATCATCTCTACTCCTCACCACAAATCCATATAAACTCTAACAAGCTACTGTTAGAATAATATAACTCTGTGAAATTTATAAATTCCTTACTTTGATTCATGAATTCTCTTCAAATCATATTTTTTACTTAACTAAAAATATATCAGCAGTCAAATATTTACATGTTGCAACTGTAAGATACTGCTATAGTAAAGTAAAAATCAATTTGAACAAATACTGTCACAAGTAAAAGTACAGCAATTACAGGTCCATGAATATTCAAGGATGAAGAAATCACATATAAAAATGTTATCTAAATAACTATATATATATTTCTACACATACAAAAATAACATGTAAATGCCTAAAAATATAAGATATAAATTTAAATATAAAAAGATGATCAGAGCCAATAGCTTCCTCAAGAGTTTAAGACATTGAATTCAAAGATAAAAATTTTGTCTACTTTCTTTTTTGTTGTTGTTTTGTTTTTTGAGACCAAGTCTCCCTATGTAGTTCAGGCTGGCCTTGAACTCACTATGTAACAAAAACTGGCCTCTAACTTGCAGTGATCCTCCTGCTTCAGCCTCCCGGGTCCTGAGATTTGTCTACTTTCTTAAGAACTTTCATAGCTGGAATTTGATCTTTGATTTCATATTCAATAGACTTTTCATACCCAAGCTTCACCTTACCATTATCACAACAGTATTTACCCTTCTTCATGACCATACTTACTTCAACTAATTACCAACAATGACTGCTACACAGTGAGGAATCTGGTTCAGCCTTGTCAGTCTTCCCAGTTCCTCAGTATGGACACTACGGAAGTGGCTGGCCTAGCTTAGTGATGCATTATGTGCCAGTTCTAGTCTCCCATAAAAGTAACACATGGTAAGCATCATATGTTGAACTGTATCTTCCAAAACGTGAATGTTGAAGTACTCACCCCCAGAAACTCAGAAAAATGACCTTATTTGGAGATAGTGTCATTACAGGACATCCTTAGTTCAGATAAAAGGCATCCTGCAGTAGGGTAGGTACCTAATTCAGTCTTACTAGTGTCCTTATTAAAATGGAAAATATACAGAGACAGCCATGCACATAGCAAGAGTGCCCATGATATGAAGGCAGAGACTATGGAGGTGTGTCTGCAAGACAACGAACACCAAAGACTGCCAGCAAACCGCTGGAAGCTGAGAGAAGAACGGAACAGATTCTTCCTCACAGAAGAACTGGTTCTACTGATACCTTGATCTTAGACCTCATCCCCTAGAACTGTGGGAAAGTTTATTGTATAAACCACTCAGTTTGTAGTACGCTATTACAACAGCCCCCAGCAAACTGTTATAGTGACTAATCTGTACATGCTTAAGAATGATTAAAGTTTCCAATTGTAAATACGATTTTTAAAAAATATGGTAGTCTACTGAAGTCACAAAATAGGTATGATGTTCTTGAATAGAGTTGGACAGGGATCCAAGGTATCGGTACTTCATTCCCAAGTATTTCCAATCTGATTACCCCAGCTACAGGAAGGCCTAGCTCCAAAGTCGACTCATTTAAAACAATACTGTGCATGTCTCCCCCAGGTTACAAGGATTTTCTACACAGCACTAGAATCTGAGTCCAAATTTCAATTTCACTTGTATGATGTAACTTAGATAAATCATTAACATCTCCAAGCAGATTCCTTATCTATAACCTTGTAAGAAAAATAGTATCTACCTCAGGAGGGTTTTTCAAGGGTTGAGTGAGGTTCATGTAATAAATCAATAAATGTATCAAGCAGTTGATATCTAATGAGACACTACACTCAACAGTTAAATAAATGTTAAAAACATATGCTCTAATGAGATAAAATATTTACTATTTAGGTCCCTTTAGTATTATAAAACTACATACACATATGTTTAGAAATATTAATATTGCATAATTTATGTTAACTTAGTCTGCACAATTAGGAAAGTGTTTCATAAACTGGATTTCCAGATGTCACCAAAGATTTATCAGTATATGATTTGAACCTGGCAAAACAGATATGGGGCCTTTGAGGCTGCAAGACAGTATTTTTTTTTTTTACAGCATATTCACCTACTGTGAACATAGATGTCACTGGCCTCATCTCTAGCTTATCTTAAGTATGAGCTTTCTAACTCCAAAAGGGAAGCTAGCTATCTCCACCCACCTCAGAGCTGAGGACTGAAGTATTATTTAAGTCTGTGCCTCCAGCTGGGGTGAAGGTGAAACTGGGCAGCCCCAAAGGACACAGTGACATTTACATCTACATTACAATTCCCCTTGGCTAAATGAAAAAAAATCCAAATGCAGGTGACAGCTCCCACTCTCAAATATAGTTTACTTATAGGCACTCTAAGATATTCATAACAAGGGAAAAGTGTGTACTGTTTTGGGTGTCCTTCTATAAAGTTCAGTCTTTTAAGTGACACTCCTCACCAGCCGACCCCCACACACACACCAAACCTCCTGGCTGGAGACAATTAGACAACCTCTGGATCCAGTTGTCTCTCAAAACCCCTCACAGCACCTCTGTGCCCCAATCCCCCCAGATAACCCCTTCCTGTTTCTACACAGTAACTTCTGAGCATCAGCTCTTCTACCTGTTCTTTTTGCCAGCTCCTCCAGCAAAGGTCCCTTAATCAAAATGTTCCTTCTTCAAACTCACAAGCCAAAGGTAGACCAGATTCCTCTCCCTTATCTTTCCGAGCCTTGCCTCTCCTCCCTTCCCACCAAAAATATTTCTGTTTTTTCTATCTATAAAATGTCTATGTCCCATTTAAACTTTGTTTTAGAGTAAAAACAAAGACAAAAACCAAAACCAAAAAAAGTCCTAGAACATGAACATAGGATTCAAATGCCTTCCCAATGAGCCATCTCAGGAAAAGGTCACAATAACCTTCTCAGGGAAGCCCTTATCTCCTGCTCACAAAGAGCTGCCAAAGTCTTCCCATCAATGCACAGAAGCAAAATCTCCTCACTGGAATCCTCTCACGATGTCCATTCCCTCATGTCTTCCACTTGGGCTCTGTTCTCCTTGGTCAAATCTAAAAACTGTCCTGGTCGTGGAATGAAATCCAATTTACATGAATTTTCGGGGTTAAATATCCCCACTAATTAAAATCTGGGAAATACTTTCTGAAAAATTAAAATGTGTAAGTCATAAAAATAACCTAAATCCCCACTCTATAATCCTCTCATTTACATTCTTTCCCTGTGTCTCTAAACTCATCAGACTCCAAGCATTTGACAAAGCTGCAGAAACATAATCCATGCATGAAACATGAGCTACGTCTTCAGCTACCTGAGCTGTCAGCAGACAGTCTCTTTGACAGAATATTTAAGAAAGGAGACACTAAAAAATTACCATGTCCTGGCACTGCCAATGGAAGTCTTAAAGATCAGTCCCCCATACAATCATAGCCAACCACAGGCTCAGGGCAGTAAAAGCAACTCCTGGATCACAAGGTCACTAGCAACAGCACCCACAGCAAACACACAAACTAAGACTCCTGTACTTTAAGAGTACATTCCAGAACATATGAGCTAGGGTCACAGGGGCCCCAGGTCCCACATTTGGAGAAATAATAACTCACACTATTTAAGCAGGAGAGCACACTATAGCAGAACTCGTGCTTTCTGCCCCTATCTTAGAGAAGACTACCATCCCCATTAGTTGCCAATGGGCCACTTTGAGTCTGTACAAGTGACAGGCATTTACTCCAAACACCAATGAGCAGTATCAAGAGGGATGAACAAACTAGAGCTCAAATTTGTGGCCTGTTTTCCAGACTCCTCAATTTCATTAAACAAGAAAACAGGAAGGGCTGGGGACTTAGCTCAGTGGTGCTGCCACCTGTCTCACAAGCACAAGGTCCTGAGTTCGATCCCTGGTACCAAAGGAAAAAAAAAAAAAAAAACTAAACAAGAAAACAGGAATGCTACACAGGTGTTACCTGAGAACCTATGCACACTTTGTTAGTGCTACCATACACAGCCACATAACCTTAAGCAAATTCATAATCTCCCTACTTTTGTACATTCAGCTCTTCTGCAAAATGAGTTAGATATTACATGAGGAACAAGATTCCAATCCAAGTTTGCATCCCCTGTGCCACACACTTATAGATATCACTTACACGCATGTGGAATGAACTCTAGGGTCTACTTTAGTCATAAAATATCCATGTCACTAGAATAGTCCAGATGAGTTCCATAAAATAGGGTAGTCATGTAAAGTATCTTTTCTCCTCTGAGAGTACACCCCCACATACATTTATATGTTTGTATAAATATCACCTCATATAGATACTAAAAGGTATCAAAGGGTATATAGGAGAAACCCAAAATAAAAATAAAGAGCTAAATAAAAGACAGAAAGTAAGGAGATTTCCAAATGGAAAGGGATGGAGGAAGAGGGGAGGGAAAAAAGGAAAGGGGATGGAATAAAGAATTAAAGGGAAAAAAAGGAAACAACTTTTGCAAATGTGAAGAAGACCAAGAGTTGGAAGGAACAGGGAAGGATGAGAGGAGCAGGGGTCAAAAAAAGAATGAAGATGTGTTGTGTACACATACCAACTCCCCATGGTAAATGTAATCATTATGTACTGAGAACATACACTAATAAAAATAAAATAATACATGGTATATGTATCTATATATAATATTACTTCATACTATCCACTTGAATGCCAGGAGGTGCACCTGACTGATGAAATCAAACTATTATGATTACTAAAATAATGTAAAAAGGAAGTATTTTAAGCACTTAAAAAATATAAACACATACAAATGATGTGTTAGAATTCTTAGACTGATGAGAAAAATAACATTTAACAGAACAGAGTAATGCTATTGTTATAATTATTTTTGTTAAACATCACTACAAAACGTGACTATACATAAAACATTTCAAAAGCCAAAATGACCTGAATTACATTGTGCCTTTTTGAGTATGTATATGATCCTTAGGTATATACAGTTACATTATTAATTTCCAGAGCATTTATTTTAAAAAGTTGTCAGACCAGACTGAGGCCTTGAAATTTTCAAAATAATGAAAATCCTACAGTATGGGCTGGTTTAGCATAACTCTGTCTTAGGTAAGAAACACATCCTCCCTGCCAAGGGTAACAGGATATGTCTCACAAAGAATTCTACATCCTCATTGTAGCTACAGACCTCCTCAGTATTTGGATTATCACCTTTACAAATGGAATGGTCAAAGATGCATTCAACATGGGGGGGGGCGGGTTGCAACAGTAACCTAAACAGACTGACAAGGAAGGTTGCAGGAAGGTATCAGTCATGAGAATTCCTGACATAAAAATGAGGAACCTTATTAAGCCCCAAAGAACCCCAACTCTCCATCTAGGCAGCAGGATAAATTCAAAGGTATCAGATCACTTTATTCCCTTTAGGGTCCCAGAGTGTACACTGGAATCCCAGACTTTCTCTTCTAAACAGAAGAACAAAGTACCTGCTTTGGAAGCTTCTGGAATGGGTGTCTAAGAAGAAACCAGTTCAGCTGGAGACTACAAGTGAAAAGAACTAAGGGATGATGCTCAGGAAGTGGTATTTGAATATTAAAATCCCTCCTAACCTCTAATCCCGCATTTCAGTTTGGTCATCCAAAAAATATACATATATCATGTAGGTTTTCAGTTTAAAAAGTGTGGATGGCATAGTACCTAAATTATTACACTTTATATTGTTTCCTTTCAAGAATATAAATTCTTCAGTGAATTCTCTTATCAGAAAAAGAATACAAGAGACAGAAGACCTGTATAGTACTGGAGTACGTCTTTAAAAACTATGAAAATAATAAACTGTTAAATAATCCTCATGTATATAACTTTCTCACTCTGTAAGACTGGGAATTCATGTTCTAGTTTAAATTGAGTATTTAAAAGTATATTACAGGTCTGGATCAAGTGTCTTTTTCATTGTAGAAGACCTAAATGTAACCATCAGAATCCGCTGAGTTGCTAGAAGGATAAGGAAATAATTTCACGGAAGGTTTGGGAGGAGGACGCTTACCCCTAAATACCCAGACCCGGGGAAGAGAAGGACAAGGTCAGACAGGCAAAGTTTGCGTTTCCACGGCTGGTTCAAACACAGCTACCGGGAATAAATCCTGAGGCCAATGATCCCCGTAGCCTTTTTCCCCTCGTTCTAGATCTCCCACAGAAATACCATGGTAACTCGGCTGCCAAAGCACTGCCCGCGGCACCTGCGGAGGCGGCCGGCGGGGACCCGCGACCCGGGGAAAAGGGACGGCGCCGAGCCCGGCCCGGGCTGGCGAGAGCGGCCGGCCGCGGCGCCCGGCACCTGAGGAGCGGAGCGTGGGGAGAGCCGGGACCGGGACCCACCTGGATCTGCAGCGGCACGAGGCGCAGCTTGCAGCGCTCGCTCACCGCGAAGCCCTTGGGGAGGTCTACGTACTGGCCCCACTCCTCGGCGAACAGCTGCACCACGAACTTGCGGTGCATGTCCAGCTGGTCCCCGTACAGGCTGAGGAACTTCTGGATGAGCAGCTCGTAGCCCGCGCCGTGCGGCACCGACGAGGGCCGCGCGAAGACAGAGAAGCAGAAGAGCACCGGGACCGCGCCCGACGGCGCCCCCGCGCCCGGAACCC